TTTTTATTTCAAAGATGTTAGTCCAAAATTCACTAGAGGTAAATTTTTGTAATTTAATATTTCTTTAAAGTCTTGAAGGGGTCTACATTATTAGAAACAAGATATAAATTATGCTGAAATGCTGGAGGTTGGTGGTAATCCCCTACTAAACTAAAAACTGGCCTTATCTTGGATTTGTTTAAATAAGAAAACACAGACATAACAAATGTATAGATTTCTAAAAATTTTTAAGTATGCGCTGTGAAGTTTAGATAGAGCCACTCATAAAATTTCGATATTTTAAAAAGTAATAGATTTTTCCGTTTTTCTTAAAAATCGTAATAACGTACTGATGTATCTTTTTAGTAATAGATTTGTTACAATTGTAATAGCAACGGCAACACTGTACTCTCGTTAGAAATTTAATTCTATCCGCGGCGCGGACGGATAACACTAGGGGGAAATACACTAGCAATCGGGGATCGGGGAATCACAAGCAACGAAGTTATAAATAGGGGAACTTTAGAAAGTAAAAGATAATTCCTAATTCGATAGTTTTACAGTTTGCAGTTGTAGAGTTTTCTAATATTAAAATTTTGTAAAAAAATATCCCTTTATTATTTAGGTTTTTTCTTTTAAAAATATTAATTATATAATGGGTTTTGTTTTTTATTTTCTACGATTAAAATTTAATTTTTAAGTTTTTCTTTTTTAAAAATGTTAGTTAATGTGTGTTTTAGAATTTTTTTGTTACTTTTTAGTAATAAAAACTTTATTTTCTACAAATTTCGTTTGATTTTTGAAATCTACCGTTTTTTGTTGAGATCTACCTATTTTTCTCGATAATTCTACCGATTTTCGGTTGACAGGGCCTGACAACACTGATTACAGTTGGGCAGCGGTTCTTTAACCGTACCTACGTTTTTCACGTTTGAAGGAAAATGCCAAAATATAAGAAGTATTAAATTTATATTATCAGATATTGACAACGCATTGATTCTAATTCTGTGGTCGGCGCTTAAGGGATTAAGTACAAATTTTGACATTAGAAATGGCTCTTGAAAATTTAGAAATATCATTGTGTCTGCACAGACGATACAAATTAATAAGTAATTTTAAAATTTTTCAGAATGAATAAACATACCGTTTTAAGAGATCAAAAGAAATCTTATTTTCCTAAAAATTCGACTTATGCTAACGGAAATACCATTACCAATTTTGAGGAGCAAAAACATTCTTGTAAACCTATGGGATGCCAAGTAGATGTGATTGATTGAATTAATATTTTAGTTTTACAGTTGCAAAATGATGAGCAAAATTTGGCAGTATCTTTGCTTTTACTCATAGTACCAAAACTTTTTAATCTGGTGAATTCAAATGTATAAAAAAAGTTCTACTTAAGTACATATACTACGCGATTTTTATAAATCATTTTAATTTTTCCAGTTCTAAATTGTGCTGCAAAATCTAGAACACTGCATTTAGTTTTATTTTGCTTTACTAACCTATTTTCTAATTTAGTGTTTATTTTAAAATATTATGACGCAAAACCAACCCTGTTCTTTGTTTATCACCGTACACGTGACAGGAAGTCTAGCGCTGGACATATCGAGACCCATCTCGAAACTCGAGAAAGCGATTCGAATGTTTTCCATCGCAGCCTTACGCGTGTAGGATAATTTCTAGAACTTCCAGACTGAGCTTCTAGTCAGAGTTGGTTCTTTCGAGAGCGTTACATTTTTAGATTCATAGCCGCGATTTTCTCGATAGAAGATAATATTCAATTTGTGTTGGAGAGTAAAGACAAATTGTAATAAATAAATTAGAATTGTGAGTTATAATAGTGTCTAAGTATTATACAGATCCATTCACGATACTACGAACACGGTCAAACTGATGACCAATTTATCCTTGTCCGCTACAGTCATTCCAAAGCGTTCGCATGTGACATATTTTAAATAACTTTATACATTTCACGACAGAGTTGAGTATTAATGAATATTTTATAAATAAATGAAGATAAAGAACAAACATAACATATTCAGACATGAAAATAGCGAAATTTAATAATGCAACCATCAACCAGAATTTGTAATAATAGACAAAATTTTGAACAACTTTAATCACAAAGCACATAGAGGTTCCACGTGAATGACCAAGGTCAAAACCGACAACTGACATTTTTTATGCTATTTGCTCCAAACTCTAGATGGGGCTACTGGTGAAATTATGATTTCTTACTCCATTTTTAAGCCTTATGGGAGAAAAACTTAACCAAAGACTCCAAAGATGTGACGTGTATTTATTTATGTTCTTGGTTAATTTCATTTTTCCGTCTGATTTTAGTGATTTTTTGTTGCTTTGGCTTTTGGTTTCTGTTTATAGTTTCGTCTTAGTTATTTGCAAAATTGTGATGTTTCGCTTTTTTATTTCCTACTGTGTTTTGCAATAATTTTGGTGCTACGTTGAAAACTTCGAGAAAAACTTCATTGATTCACCATGCATCTGCATCATAAAAAGACAAACGGGGACAACAACTAATTGATAATCAATTTATCACTGGACTAGATTCCGAAATCATTTTTCACATAAGAGAGTAATACCACCATCTGTATTTGGAAGGAAAATACCTATTTATCATTGAATGAATAGTTAAAAGGATTCACCTTTTAATACAATACCTATATTACATTTGTCCTCAGTTAAAAAGACATTTATAAAATATATAACTTTAGTGTTAATAAAATGTAATATCCTAGTCTCTACTTCACATTTAAATTATTGATAGGTATTTTAAAGATTTGAGATTATAGGTATGTCTATTTGCTCCAAGTAAGTATTCGTTAAATATGTATTATTATTTGTATTTATTTTTATCTAATAATATTTATTTAAGTTATTAATAAACATATTTTAAGAATGTTCTATTTTATTATTTATTGATATATCTTATATTTATTTAATAAAAATATGCAGAACCAACTCTCCACATTAGACCCCTTATAACAAATTAATTCTTCAAATTTGGTATAATCGACCTAAATTATTTTGTAAAATAAAAGTTTCGAACTTACTAGTTCCATACTTTATTTTATAAAATAATTTATGTGGAAATCATTTAAAATTACTACCTACTCCTAAAAATTACAATTTGAATTTACCGCCATCTGTCAATTGTCATTTAAGTTCCAGCTCCAAACACAAGGTGGTGCTAATTTGGTTTAAAAGTTTAACATTGGCGTGGGGTCTCTAGAAGATACATGCTTTGTGACTTTAATAGTTGTTGACGTAGCGCAGTGGGTAAGGTGTTGTACTTACAGTCTACCTACGCGGATAGAGGTAGGATCGAATCTCTGCGCCGACGTTTTTTTTTTATTTTTTTTTTATTTTAATAATTTTCATTTTCTTTTTTCATTTCTTTTTTTTTTCTCTTTTTTTTGAGACCCTCCACAATAGTAAGAACAGCAACAGTTTAAAATTTATAAAAAACAACTTTGATTTTGTTTTCAAATGGAAAAAAATTCAATACAAACATTAAAAAATAGAGAACAAACATTGAACATTAAAAAAAAAACAAAACGAACTTTAAAAAATTACATAACTAAGATTAAAAAAAAATACAAAACTAAGATTAAAAAATTACAAAAAAATAAAAATTATAAAATGGAATCCAATAGACAATAATAAATTACAATCAATAATAAAAGAACACGAATTGATTTTTAATGTAATAGGTGCTCAAATAGACCTCCTTCTTGGGCAAGACAGTATCCCAAGCGATCGTAAAATGATCGCCTTACTTCAGCCAACATATTGGGACTAATAAGTTGAACGGCTTCTGAAATTTTCACTTTCAGCTCATCTAAGTCGTTAGCTTTTTCTTCCCTGAATTTGTATATCTGATATAACCCCACAAAAAAAATCACAAGGCGCGAGATCCGGCGATCTAGCTGGCCACAGAATTGTACCTTTCCCTGATAATAATCTGTTGGGAAATGTTTCATTTAAAAAGTGCTGCACCGTCATACGATTATGCACAGAACATCCGTCTTGTTGAAACCAAATATTGTTAAATCGAGCTCCTGCCAATCGCCGTATCTCAGGGACAATATGGTGTCTGAGTAAATCCAAATATTTAACACTATTTAAATTATCCTCAATATAAAAAAGGACCGATTACATTTTCACCTAGTATTCCCATCCAAACATTCAATTTTTGCGGGAACTGCGTGCGAACTGTTACAAATTTATGTAAATTTTCTCGAGACCAATATCGGACTTGGGATGGATTATGCCTGGCAAGTAATGGAAAAGTCGACTCATCGGTGAACACAACATTGTAAAGAAAATTGTTGTCATTGTTAACTTTATCCATTACTGCCTCGCTAAATTCCATTCGTCTGATATTGTCAGTTTAATAAATTTCTTGGCATTTTCTTACTTTATGATCGATATCCATGTTTTTTTTTATAATTATATTTACTGTGGTTTCACTGGAACCTACAACTTCCGCAACCTCTCTCTGAGATATCATCGGATTTTCTTCCACAGTTGCACAAATCATAATATCCCTATATTCTTGTTCATTCTGATTATTATTAACTCGAGCCTTTTTATGTTCATTGGGAGAAACGCAGCCATGAATTTAAAAATTTTAAACAATACGATGATGTACTGTTGAGAGTGATGTATGGGCCTATTTTGAAATGTCGCCTCAAACAAACCGCTTATTTGTCGAATTGTTTTGCCTTGAAAATGCCATTTCACAATTTGTACTTTCTCAGCAATTTCGTAAACATTCATTTTAAATCTAAAGAAATACTTTTCGCCCGCGATAAAAGCACAAAATTTGAATGTGACAGTTGCGGACAAGCGTCAATTGGTCATCATGTTTACCATGTTCCTAGTACGATGGATGAATCTGTATAAATTAATTAGTACGTTATAAATTAATTGTAAAAGTGTTTTAAATAAATAAACTATAAATAAATTAAACAAAGTCAATATATAGCTAAACTTACTGTTGTACTTTGAAGATCTATTATTCGAACAATATGAGGTTCAGCTCCACCGCATATTACGAAATCCTTATTTATAAATTTTCCACAATATAACTATAAAAGAATTGAAAAAATTAATAGGAAGGTCGGAAGGTGTATATACTTACTAATTTCTTTAAAATAAAATAGAACGAATAATAAACTTGAACCATCGAATATTAGATTTGATCTAGGGTTAAAATTCACTCCTAAGGGGGTGAAAAAAAAAAAAAATTAAAAATCCCTAACAAAATTTAAAAACAAATGTAGTCATGTATCTCAAATATTTCTAGAGTCTGGACAATTTCAGTACAGCAGTTACTGCTTGCAAGAGACAGAGAGAATGCGATCTTGCGAAATTTTAAAACTAGGAATTATATTTTGAATTCTACTCTGGTTCAACTTTATTTAAGTTAATTATATCTTGTATTTTTTTTAAACTGCAAATGGCAAATACTTAAATAATAGTAGCCTGTTCAACAAGAATGGATATGGATAATCCACTCGAGTTAAACAGTATATTTTTTATACGAACAACTAACGAAAATCTACAAATTTAAGAAAATGTAGGTAATTAAAATAAAATAATTAATTTTTACTAATTTATAAAATAAAGTAAACGTGAAAAACAGATTTAATTTAATTAGTCTTCAGCCCAGATTTCAACCCGGCCTTGTGCGTGGAAGACAGTTGCTGTTTCCTTACCTTCACCGCCAGATTTAGGATTTTTGTTTTAATACTCGTAATTAAATTAGTTTCATATAGTTTTATTAAAATCAACGAATTATATATATTTATAGATGAAACAAAAATGCTATTATTGACCGATTCTACACAAAAATGACAGAATTGTCACTTATTTAAAATTTTAAAAATAATAGTATTTGCAAAGAATACCTACCCAAGAAGCGAAACTAAATGGGCGATTCGTGGACAAAAAACGGCCAAGTTTTCTCAGTGTTTTAGAGGTGGTTTAACGTCAAATATAGCTGTCAATTTATGTAGAGCAACGTTTGGTATATTATTATTAGCGTTTTGTAAAAACTATAGTATACCTAGTTAAGTAATTCTAGTATTTTATTAAGTAGTAATTAGAAATTAGATAGTTTTAAGATTTTTATTACATAAAAAAAATACATTGTGCTGTTCGTAAATTTTAATGAACGTTTTTGCATCCGGCTGTTAATGTTTAATTTTTTAAATTTCTAAATTAGTATTACCTATAATGATAATTTACGACTACGTATTATGCATCGTTTAATTTCTTACTCTTTTATTTAAAATGTTTTTTGTTTGTTTTTTAAACCATTGGAATTAAAACAGTAAATAAACAATAATTTAAAACAATAATTAAAATATATGACAAACTAATTCCGAGGAACCAAGTCACTGCTATCAGGATGCAATCGAAATGAAATACAGTACTTCTGGATATGTAACGTGTGGAGGGTGGGTTACCCCATGCATTTATGCCTCACTAGGCCCATTGTGGCACGTGAGCCCGTCTACAGATTGAATGTAGATGACAACGTCGCCAAGAGGTGCTTTTTTTTATATCGGCCGGTGTTAGCCAATACTCGCCGAAAACAAATCTTCTAATACATAAGAGTATGCTATTTTCATATTTTTTTCATTTCGCGACTATTTCGTAACGCTGGTTCAATTCCCGGTGAATGAACTTTTTTATTTTTGATTTTTTCATTTTGAAAAAATAATGACTATTGTTGTTCAATTATTTAAAATACATGTCATTTATCGTAATATAACCCCTTTTCGCTATTTAGTTTGTACCCTTTTAATTACTGTTTATAGGAAGACAAAACAAAGAAAACAAAAATGTGTTAATTGAAAAAAATACAAAATTTAAGGCTAACGTGGCGCATACAAATTTTTATTGCTAATCGTAAACATTTATAATTAAAAAAAATTTTTTTTCTTAATAAAAACATTGCGTTCGGTCTGCCAAGTTCCTTTAACTCCTTTAACACTTTTAACTCCAAACGACCCTTTTAGCGTTCGGTTTAGTCCGATTAGTGACAGTTTAACACGCTTAAATGTCATTTAAAAGCACCCTAAAATTTGTCCCGCTCCAGCCCCTGACTATCCGAACTCGCCTATAGAAGGTATGTTTTTAATATTTACTAATGTCAACGTCATTTTTTACTGGCACTTTCATCATGAAATAATACGATCACAATACATATTTAACGAAAATACTGGTAAATTAAAATTTTACACGTTTCCTCGATTTTTTCATTTCGGCCCATTTTAGAGAAATCGTGTATAAAACAAAAATTAAAGAGAATTATATTACCAAACAACTTTAAACAATTTTCTTAAAACTTAGAATTTTGCACTTTTTGTCAAATTTCTAGAATACGGACCATTTTAGGGAAATAATTGCCGCGTTTGTTTATCCACATCGGACCCATCTACTACATCTACATCTGCGTTTGTTTATCCGAGATGTAGGTACCTGTCCAGATAACATTTTTTACATCTCGATTTGAAATGAGATGTGAATGAGATGTTCGTTCTATGCCAGAAAGTAAGTGTTCTGTGAAGCCAAGTTTGTCAATTTATCCTTTGTTTATGCTTATAAATATAAAAGTGATTAGTTTGTTTAATTTTTGTTGTCAAATTTAGGTTGATTTGTGGTCTCTAAAGTCAAATTTAAAAAGTATAAACTTCTAACTTGTCATTGTCATTTTATCACGTTACCAATAAAGTCTAGAGAGTTTGTTTATTACATCTACATGGGTCTATTCTGTAACAATTCCTTTATATTTAACGGCCTTTAAAAAAATATTTTCTTCTTTACTTCTGTCATTATTTAAACGGATCTTTAAAATACATTAGAGGACTCTCTTAAAGAAATCTGTTTAAATAATGACAGAAGTAAATTAACGAATACGAACATATTTTTAAAGGCCGCCAATATTTTTAAAGGCCGTTAAATATAAAGGAATTGTTACAGAACATTCAGATATAATTCTCGATCACGTGCACGGTGGACTATAAGGTGCATCAACTCCCATTTAAAAACAAATGAAAACGGTGATAAAACCTGGCGTACTTCCTAGCCAAAATCCGCTAGGTTCGCTAGTGTCTATCCGGCGAGAAAGTAAATAAAAGAAAAGTAGGAGCTGCAATTTGAAAAGTGTTGACAGATAAATATTTTTTAAAATCTTAAAATATATAATTCATGGTGAATCGTTGTGCTGTTTTTAATTGTAGATTATGGGCGAGAGTCTTCAGCATATTAATAGCAGTTTTATAATGCCAAAAAACAGTTATACAGAATATGATGCAGATTATTTATTGGTGGTACGAATACGAAAATAAACATTAAACCCAAAAGTTCCATTTGTGAAAAACATTTTAATGGAAATTATGTTATCCGTGAAAAAGTGCTGAGAAATCTACTAGGAAACGTTATTTTTTAAGTAAATATGTTTTAAATAATTGTAGGTTATGTAAATAGGTTATTCAACTTTGTCTTTTCTGTAATAAAAAGAATTATTAGCATAAAGTTTTACTATATAAATAATATTTCGTATTATTTATCCTTTCACCTGGGTAGTAATAATGTTATGACTTGGACCCTATATAATGTGTTCATGACATAAATTTCATATACATAGGTAGGTATTTCTTTTGATATTTTTCGGACCTTGCGAATAAATAAAATCTGTGACTTATTTCTTTTAGCCTGATATTACAATGCTGGTTACATGAATCAAATAGATACTATGATAAATTTATTTTACTTGTAGCCTTTTTATTTTTAAGTGTTCAATATACATTTGTTTAATAACAATCATCCCCGAATGTGTTTTGTTCCAGTTCTTTAAATGTATTTACTAGATTTTATAGAAGTATTCATTTTAAATTAATAAAAATTTGAGTTGTAATAATAATTTAAGATTTTTTTATTCTGTATTTTTATAGGCGTTAATCCTTTTAAGTAAATAAATGTAGTTCGGGGTTGAAGATGTTGGTAATTTGTGTATTGAATAATTTGTACATACACTGGTTAATAATTTAAACAATGTTTTTTCTGATGTACCTAATAATTATTTAAGGTAATCTTGTAGTTGACAGGTCTAGAAATCCGCATATTCACACCATTCCGCACTGAAGTCTATAGAATTTGACACAAATTTGAATTTTCTAAAGTATTACTTGAAAATCTAGATTTTTTTAATTTTTAAATGATGTAAAAATTGGTAAATAGATGATAACAAGTAAAAGTCAATATGATTATTCCCTGGTTCCAAATAATTAAATATAACCTTGCAACTATATGTTACGATTCTATCAGAACTAGCTGAAACAAGAATGGTGCAAATAGGTGCATTTCCAGACCCTTCAATTATAAGACTTTATTTAATGTGCAGCGCAAATATAAAAAAAACTACCTAAAAAGTGCTGTTCCTGCTTTCATTTCTTACGATGGGACTACTTCTCAAAGGAGACGAGAATGTGGAAAGTATTGCTGATACAGTTACCGAAGTTATCCACTGGGGGGTGAAGTATATCTTTTAAGAATATAGGAAATATTTTTTTATACCTAACAACTTAATATTTATTTATTGATAAGTTATAGATACTATGTATTTGAAATTCGAAGTAATCATTATGACATTATGACACAGCAGTGTTCTTCTTATTGTATTCGGATTCTAACACAAATAAAACATCTTATCTTTTGTTAAAATTATTAATTTATTAATGTTACATTAGAAAGAAAACACAAAGAATTATTTAAAATTAGAAATAAATACAATTTACACATTTCCCATTATTACATTTTTACTTACTTAATTTATTCATTTCTTATATTAACAATTTAAATTTATAATAAAGTTCATTATTTAATTGGAACTCATTTTATAATTTTACTAATTATTTCTTTATATTTATTTGTGGAAAATGATATATTAGATAAAAGCATAGGAAATGTTCTATTATATAATAGCAGTAATGAAAAAATAAGTAGGAACATTTTAAATGTATAGTTTCCAGATTTATTATGAGTTTTTCATATTATTGTACTCAATAAGTAGGTTTTTTATGTTCGCTTGTACACATCACAGTTAGTAGCAGACTAACAAACCTGACAACACTCCCGATTTCAGAAAAACAGTACAACAATTTTTTTTTACATTATATATTTCAATAATGTAATATAATAAACATTTATATTTAATTAATGACAAGGTTTACTTTTTAAATAAAACTATACGAGCCCTGTCCCATTTCAATTAGCACACTTCTCGAATTTATAGTGACTGTCACTACAAGAACAAATCATACATAAATCTGATAAATTCTTTTATTTTTTTAACTCTTTCACTTCCACTTTCATTAAAAAAAGTACCATTGTAGTAGATCTGTCCTCCAGGTACACCATTTTTCACAGCATTAAATGGACGAATTTTGTATTTTTAGTTTAATGGTTTTCGAAATTATGTTTTCTTTGTTTATTTTAAGTAAATTAAAATATTTTCATAGTATTTTTTATTACTCCAAGACATAATGTCCCTGGTCAGGGACATTACAAAAACAAAAATTTACTATGAAAATAATTTTTTTATAATATTAATCCTTAAAAGTAATGCAAATAAAGTAAATAAACCAAAAAGAAAAAATTTCTACCAAAATTAATTAAGATGTATACTTCAGGGATAATTAAGACAGTGTCCCTCTGGAGGGACAAATACATTGAAAGGGTTAAATATTTACAAATTTTCACTAGTCTTTCATCACCTTTAACTTTGATAACGGCAATAATTCATTAAAACATTGTATTTACGTTCTTGAAAATCTTGTGCAGGGAACCTACTCCATATTTCTAGATTACCCATTTGCTTTAATTCTGGCACTGATCTTGTGGGTGCTGCACGCCTCTGCTTAAAAATTATCACTAAAAAAAAAAAAAAAAAAAAAAATAAGCATTATTAAAAACTACAAAAAGTGGATCATTTGAAAATCCATATTCAAGTTCCAGATTTGTAAAATTTAAAAAATTCCAAATACACACTAGTTCGATTATGTATTGAATAAAAGGTCTGTTCCAACAACGATAAAAAACAAATCACTGGGTAGTACACAATTTTGCTGTCTCAATAATCTACTGTGCAGAATCCTGATGTCAGTAACTCATTTCTGAGCATTATTGGAACAGATCTAAAGTAAATCAAAACCACTGAAAAACAAGTGAAACATTTAAACTCAAGCATAATTTTTAATTCCTATAAAAATTTTTAATTACTAAATATTTTGTTCTAGGTATATTAAAATGTAAAAATTCTTACTCTTCATTATAATTATATTTTTTATTTTATCTATATACCTACACACCATCTAACATTTTACAAATTTGATGCCTAATTAAAGATTTCATCTAGCAGAACTTTTTATCAAGAATATTGTTTTTGTAAAACGTTTTTCACATTTGTATAAATCTTCTACAACATCTGTCACATTAGAATAACAAGATTGTATCTAGAAAGGCAGTTATTTTTTGGAAATCATAATTGAAGTTTGTATAGCCAATACCTTGTTTGATTTTCATAGTGTTTCTAACTCTAATTTAAGAGAAAATCTTATGTCTAAAAAATGCAGAAAGAACTTAGCCACCTACATTTTTTAGAATATTTGATAAAGCATAGTAGTAACTGCCAGTTAAAACTTTTGTTAATTCAGAATTTTTAAATTTTTTTTATAATTTTCAATCAAAACTGTTTAAAAACAAAAAGTTTAATAAAAAAATACCCATTATATTTAATACGTTTTATGCTCTAAAACTCACTGTTCTTTTAATGGCAGATTTTCTAACCTCTGAGTAAAGTTACGCCTAAGTATAATCTATAGCCTAATCAGCAAGTAGTTACTTTCAACATTATTCAGAGGTAAAAAACCTGGCCTTTAATCTTAATATAATTGTGGAGGATGGAGACTACATTTGCTAGGGATTAGGGAATAACGAAAATCTAACTACTATAATGAAATTGTATAAGTTCTATGTACATGCAGATAGAACCATGTGAATAACTTTAGTGCTTTGATAACACAACATTGATAATTAACAGATGAACATATTGGTCACAAAAACAAATTAATTAATATATTCTACCAATCTCATTTTTTTCAAAAGGTACAGTTACAACCTTGTTATTCTGTGAGATGTATTTATTACTGATACTTAATAATAAAAATAATAATAATTGATATAGGTACTTACTGATCTTTGGAAACATATATATTCCAGTCCAGTGAGACTTCATTATTCTGGTATAATGCTATTTCACAGAAATGTTTGTAATTCCAATCACTATGTATGGATTTGATTATAGTAGGTAATAAACTAAATGTTTATTGAATATCTTTAATCTGATGGGCAATGAAAATCACAAAACTCACTTTAAAAATAATAAGCTTCAATCTGAGTACCATAGTTAAGGTCCACTTCTTCATTTTATAATCAGTAACCCCTGTATTGCTGTTTTTGGCAAAGCCAAAGGTAATATTTGAACACAACACAAAATCAGCTGTTTTTTATAAACACCCCATTTCACTTATTTAGCAGCAACTTGTAACTTAATTGGAGCATATTTATTATATCTTGAACACTTTTTTTTTATCGTATAAACGCACACATCAGTGTAGCTTGTTTAAAAAAAAAAACACTTATAAACAACCATCAATAACAATAAACTTATTTGTTGACCATTAATTTTTTCATCTGTACTTCTTCTGATAGTTTTGTCATTTTTCATTTCATATAAACTCGAATTTTCACCATAGAAGAACTATTTTTATGATTGCACTTTTTCTGACAGATAAAAAGATTGCCGCAATTTTCCGCCGTAACGACACTAGCGAACCTAACGGATTTTTGCCCCAAATACGATGGGTTTTGGTATGTTTTTTTCAGGGAGTTGAAACACCTTTATATGCCGCGTTTGAGAATCCACATCGGATTCATCTGAGATGTAGTAAATCTTTGATCACGTGATTCAGTATACGTAAATGTAATGGGACAGATGTGGATAAAAAAACGCTCGAGATGTAAAAAATGCATCCGATGTGGATTCTCAAACGCGGCAAATAGTACACCGTGATCACGTGATAAAAAATTGACAACATCTCAGATGCATCCGATGTGGATATTCAAACGCGGCAAATGTATAGGACAAAAATTATAGAGAATGACGAAGTTTCTTCAAGCGTAAATAACAGATATATTTCTTAAAGTCAAAAACTCGAGGTAAATCATGATTCCTATACTTTCGTTTTGTCCTTTTGTCCTTTTGTCCTTTTGTATGCAGACAGGAAAGTAAAAATTGAAGTATTGTAATCTACTTTGCTGACTTTCGTTAGTGAACACTTTAATGGAACGCCAATGTTGGCGTCACTGGGTCCGAAGAGGTTAAAAGCACACTTTGTGTATAAAAGTATGGGAAAACTGTTAGACCTAAGACAACTTTTATGGTTACCTTACTCGGATATATATCGGGTTCTAAACGAGCAATTCTTCTACCGCTTCCATAATCGAAGAGTTGTAAAGCATCAGTAAGTTGAAAACTTGCTACTAAAATCTAAGGTGATTTTTATTAGATAATGTTTCTTTATTTAAATGTAATAGATATTTAGCTATTTACAAACCTCGTTTCCTCTTGGATGTATATCTAAACCTTCTCCACAAAGATGACAACCCGCAATATGTCTTACAGCGTAAGGTTGTCGGAGATCCCAAAATTGTATGGTGTCATCCCATCCTCCAGTAATTAATTCGTAATTATTTTTAGGATGAAATACTCCTGCGAAAACGCGAGATGTGTGTCCATCGTGTTTATCGGGATAATTACTAAAAAAAAAACGATTAAACTACTAATATAGCCCAAGCAATGAAGCGTTTGGAACAGGGATAAATGATTAGAATAAAGATAAAAATTGGTATGTTGGTCAAATTTGATGTCCTGGTGATAGCTTTTCCATTGCTCCCGGGTTATCTAGCTTGCATTTTTTAGGGATGTTTTGGGAAAAATATTCAATTTTTTAAAAAGCAACAAACGACCTACTGAAATGAAAAATTCTTGTCCAGTCTTCATCTAGAAGATATTTGTGACAAAAAACCCGCGGGAGTAAGTAGTATATAAAGCGCCGCCCCTATCTCAAGTTCGATCTCCAATCGAGCACCCACAATCCTAGCATATAAAAACAGAAATTGGAGAAATCCAGATATCGAAAACGAAAGTTGAGAGTTGAAAATACAAGTTCAAAGAATATTGATAATAAAGGTAAGTTGAAATAGATAAACTCAAGACATGTCTATGTCATGCTTCTGCATATCATTCTTTAGATTGATTAAGCCTTTATAAGTTATATTAGTAGAGTTTTCGTTTAATTTTTTTAAATCGTGTTTATAAGTTTAGTATATCTATCAGGTAAAGTAATTTTGAATGTATTATCTAAAACACAAATAATTTTTGTACCAAATTTTGTATCCAAAATTTCAAAATTTATTATATTTTTTATTCATTTCAAGCTCAGATAGTTTTACAAACTCGTATGAGCGGTTTAGTTTTTTGAATAGCGATTCCATTTTGCTTTATATTTATAAGAGAAAAAATTTAAGAAAAGAAACGTATATAAATAAAAGAAAATATTATTTAGATTCAACTTGAGATAGGAGCGGCATTTTACATACTACTACAATGTTTTCTTTTATTTATATGTTTATGTTTAAGAATCAAACTACTTTTTAAAGATTTCAATCATAAATTTTTCATTTTTCAAAAACATGTTTTTTCTATTAAATTTTTTACCTTATAAATGGAGATGTCACAACAACTAGAAATACCAAGCTTCAATAATACTGTTAAGCAGTTGAGAGAGACTGCTAGAAATTATAGAGATCAATGTCATCTTAATTTAAAAGAGTTTTATAAATTGAGAAAAAATACATTATACGATTTATTAAGAAATAAAATAAATGAGCATAATCGTAATATAGAAGAACCTAATAGTTTTTTACAATCATTTAATGATTATGATTTTGAAGGACCAAGAATCAGAGAAGAAGAAGCTAACAATTTTTTACAATCATTTAATGATTATGATTTTGAAGGGCCAAGAACCAGACAAGAAAAAATGCATAACAAATCAAAGGATTTAAAAGAGTTACCATACATATGTAACGATGATGAAGATGTTCGAGTAATAAGAACAAAAGGTGCGTGGAATAATATGCTTGTTAACTATTCTGTTTATTGTAAATCTGGTGAGCATGATTTAATAAAATTTTTATACAACGTGAAACTATCAAAAAAGAGCTTGACCACAAGAAATCTGTAACAATTCAGTTAGTTGCAGTTGTTCAATATCAAGAATTAGATTTATCAGGTAACATAATAGGTATTTATAAACACTATTTTCATTCTAAGATAGATCAAATCATGTCTATCAACGAGAACACTATAAATGGTATCTTAAAATTCGTAAAAAATTAATGTATAAGAAAATTTGAAAATTATACATCAAAGAATACAAAATATAGGTTTGATAGAGTTATTCAACTAGATATTCAATCTGATAAATACAATCCATTACGAGGAGGAACCTATGTTCAATTACCAAGCTTTATTTCTCATAAACATTGTTGTATCAACGTTAAAAATGTAAAAACAAGGATATTCAAATGTCTAAAGCAAGAAAATCTAAGATGTTTTGAATATGCATTGGAAAGTATACTGAACCCTGTTAGAAACTCTGATCGTGCATCTTGCTATAACATTAAAAGATATGAGTGTTTAAATATGCCTTATCCAGTTGAGTTAATTCCATACAATATACAAAAATATGAAGACTTTCTAAAAATATCTATTAATATTTATAAATTTGAAAAACCTATTTTTAACCTTTTATACTTAAGCCAAAATCATCAAAAATATAATAATCATGTTAATTTACTATTATATGAAAATCATATAGTTGGAATTAAGAAACTCAGCACTCTATTAAGTGGACAAATTCATAAAAGACATCTAATGTATATATGTAACAAATGTCATACAACATTCAATACGAAAGAAAAATGTGATGAGCATATCCAAATTTGTATTCATCAAAAAACTATAGTAGAAATGCCTAAAGAAGAAAATAATCAACGAAAATATATATCTAGCGGTGCAGAACAGTTTCATCCCTACACAATAACTCTCGATTTTGAGTGTACATTAGAGAAAATAGATAAATCAATAACAGATTCAACAAGATACATTCATGAACATATTCCAAACAGTTTCTGTTTTCATACAATTGATGGAACAAAAGTAATTAGAAGTAGTAATAAAGAAACACTAATGAAAGAATTTAACAACCAACTTATTTATTATGGAAAACGATATAATCAAATTAGAAAACAAAATAATAAAATGACTTGGGATGCTGATGATCTATTCGTAGAATTTATGAATGCAAAAAAGTGTCATATTTGTAAAAAAGTTTTCGAAAATGAGGATCAAAAAGTCGCAGATCATGACCATGCTACAGGAGAGTTCAGGGGAATAGCTTGTAACATTTGTAATTTAAATTTACCATTACCAAGATTTATACCAATTGAAATTCACAACCTTAGATATGATTCAATGATATTTTTAAAATGGATTCTTGAATTGAGTGAAAACTATTCAGACATTAATATAATTCCAAACTCCAAAGAAAACTATATCACATTCTCAAAGAAAATAATTGTTGATCAATATGAACAACGCTATGATTATTCTCGATGCAATAAATGCAATGAAAAACCAAAATACAAAATTATCGAAAAATGTGATACATGTGGAAATAAAATGATTATCAAACGGAAAGGGGAAATTCAAGATGTAAAAATGGAATTTAAATTTATAGACACATTTAGATTTATAAGTACAAGTCTTGACTAAGCAGTGAACAATTTAGCTGATGTCAATAATTGTTATTGTGTTAAATGTAATTCTAAATAAGAAATAATAAATGTTAAATTTCTACCTATTAATGAAAATAATGTTTTAAAATTAATCGCCAACTGTAAAAAATGTGATAATAAAGTAAGTAAACCAGTTGAATACACTAAATTTAAAAATATCATGAAAGAATTTAATAAGGAGGACCTCCATATGGTTTTAAGAAAAGGTGTTTATCCATACGAGTGGGTTGATGATTATCAAAAATTCTATGATGAACTTCCATTAAATAAACGAGATTGGTATTCTACTTTAAATGATAAACATATAAAGGATGCAGACCTTAACTTTGCTAAAGAAGTTTATAATCATTTTGAATGTAAAAATTTTGGTGATTATCATGATTTATATTTAAAGTTAGATACGGTTTTATTAAAAGATGTGTTTGACAACTTTAGAGAAACATGTTATAAGAATTATAAATTAGATCCAGTTTACTATATTTCAGCTCCCAATTTAGCAAATTCAGCATCATTAAAAGAAACAGGTCTAATATTAGAATTAATAACAGATCAAAAATTATACGAAACATATGAACGTGGAATCAGAGGTGGAATATCAATGATTCCAAATAGACATGCTATAGCAAATAATTGCTATTTCTATGATGAAAAACAGGGTAAGACAATAAAACTAAGTAAAGAAAAAGCTGAGGAAAAAGGAATATATAATAGTCAAAAACATATTAGTTATATTATGTATTTAGACGCAAATAATTTATATGGAAATGCGTTATCACAACCATTACCAATCGGAAAATTTGTTGGATATAATGAAAGAGAAGATGAAATAAAAATTGATCCATAACTCAAAAGTTTAAAAATTAAACCTAGCGAGTATACTTCAGAAAAGATTTTAAAGTTAAAAGATAATGATACATATGGATATACGTTTATTGTAGATTTAGAGGTTCCCAAAGAACTACATGATAAATTTAAAGACTATCCATTACTTCCAGAACATTACGTACCTGATTATGATGAGTTATCAACATATCAAAAAGAAATGATTGATAATAATATTGGAACGAAACCTAAAAATACAAAATTAATAAATACACTAAAATTAAAGAAAGATTATGTTATCGATTTCAGAATGTTAAAAGAATGTTTAAGACAAGGAATTGTTTTAAAAGAAGTTAAAAATTATATTAAATTTGAACAGATGGCGTGGCTTAAACCCTACATAGATAAAAATACAGAATTAAGAAAAGAAGCTCAAAATGATTTTGAAAAAGATTTCTACAAACTAATGAACAATGCAGTGTATGGGAAACAAATGGAGAACGTAAGATCCAGGTGTGATGTGAAATTAATCAGAACACTACCTAGTTTCGATAAACATAAAGAATACGAAACCAGAACAATAATTATTGTTCTTTTATATCGACGAAAAACTAAAATAAAACTTAATAAACCAGTCTATGGTGGTTTTGTTGTATTAGAACTATCAAAATTATTAATGTATAAATTTTATTACAACCACTTAAAAAGTAAATACAATAATAAAATTAAGTTGTTAGGAACGGACACAGATTCTTCAATTATTTATGTTGAAACAGATGATGTTTATAAAGACATGAAAGAAAATATAAAATATTTTGATACATCAGATTATTTAATAGATTGGATTCCTCAAAAAAATAAGAAAGTTCCAGGCTTATTTAAAGATGAATACTGGAATTCCAATAAGAGAATGGGTTGGTTTAAGATCGAAAATGTATGCGTTTAGAAATGATATAAAAGAAAAAAGATATGTAAAGGTATAAAAAAATGTAATATAGAGAAAATGAAATTTGACATGTATAAGAATTGTTTGTTAAATACTATAATAACACAGGAAATAATCTATGGAATTG